TTCTTAATTCCTCTTCAAGTACATGTTTGACATTAGCATTGCTTTCATAATTCAATGGTGTTTGGCTGTCCCTTCATTAATTTGGATAACTCCATTACCTTTTCCACTTTATTTTCTAGCTCGATTCATGAGTATGATACATTAGTTTATAGATTATATATGTTGGAGTGATATTTTTTAATTTTATTATTTGTGTAAAGTATTTATTAATGTTTTTGATAATTTATTATATTGAACTTAGGAGGATGTAATTTTCAATTTTCCTTTTGATGTATAAGATTCAAGGTCGACTTGTTGAAATAGTTTAGAACCAATTGATCTAGTGGAATCAAATATATGTTGGATTGATTGGATAATTAATTTAAGGAACAAATATTGAAAATGATATAGCGCATTGAGAAATGAGAAGAATATAATTCCATATTAAAAAAATGAATTATACTCCCAGCAAGTGGCACGGGAGCAGTTCAACGCAAAACTTTTATTTATTTATTTATTTATTTATTTACATGAGGAAATCATAAGAAAGAGAAGAAAAAAAATAAAAAAATTGCAGAACCACAGGTTGCCACTGCCCTTTCAATATTAAAAAAATAAAATAAAATTCATAACTAATAAGTATTCATAACATAAATAATTTTTAAATCTTAAATCCTAAACTCAAGTATCAAATTATTTGGATTTTTTATTTAAAAATTGAAATGATAATATGATAAAAAGAAGTGATCCTTTTTTAATTATTAATTTGTTATTAGACAAAAAATCAAGTGGGCATTTATTAGACAATTTAATATAGTATTATGTACAGACTAAATTGAATAAATAATTAAATATAATGGAATGAATTTATCTTTTTCTCTTTGTTTTTTTTTTTTTGTTTTAAAAAACTAAAACGTCTTGTTTATTAATTTTGTGATTTTTTTATTTATGTATGCTTATAATTAAGGAGTAATTATGTTTTTTTCCTAACATATTTATTAAGGTAATATTTGACAGGTGAATAAAATAGAATGAAATATATATCATTTTTAAAACCTTATATTAAATTTCGTTCTCTTTAAAATATAAAATAAAACTTAAATATTATGTTTTGTTTGTCATGCAAGGATAATATAATTGATTAAGTTTTTTATTTTCATTTTTATTAGTTAAGACTTGAGATTTTATTTTATATCATTTCATGCAAATTTATATTATGATACAAGGTTGATAATTCAAATTTTTACTGAAAATTTCGAAGAAATTGGTGATTGATTTTAGTCTTATTGAGATCATACTTTGTCTCAATTTAAATTTTTATGTACCAAAAAAATGTCTTGTCTTGTTCTAATGTCTATAAATGTTATTAAAATGTTGACATTCATTAATTAAGTAATTTTTTACTTTTAAAAATTATAATTTTTTTACATATCTCACTTTTTTTTCCCAAACAAATTATCTATAAAATATATTTCTATATCAAATGTTTCTTTCAACAATCTTCCATTTTTTTTAATTATATTTGATTCTTCTAAATACTATGAGGATTTAATTTAGTTTTTTATCTTAATAAAAAATTATGTCCAAGTCAAATTTAAAGATAAAAGTATTTTTTCATTTTTAGACGATTAAATAAAACTATACTCATAAGTGTATTATTCTAAATTAGAATAAGTTGATAAAAGTTCATTCTTTATTCCCATGTCTTAAAAGAGGACAATATGAAGATTAAAAAAGGAGAGAGAATTACACAAGTGGTGGAGCATTTAATTTAATTTGATGGAAAACAAATAACCTTATTAAGGCCTAACATGCCATCAATTTTTTTTAAAGAGAGAGGTGTCTTCAAGAACACAGGGTTCAAGAGGTGCATAGTTGTCATTAGCTTGTACTTTCCTGTGTTAAGTCTCGCAATGAACACATCCTCATGTTCAGTTGGTCAACATTGAGTTTAGAATCTTAAGGATGATATCGAATCATCATGCTACGTATGTACATGTTGTTTAAAAAGAAGAAATGAAAAAAGAAACTATATTTAACTGAGTTAATGAAAAAATCATAACAGTGATAGGAATTGAAAAGTAAATGAAAATTACATTTGAATAGAAAACAAATCGAAAAACTAGGGAACCGTTTAGTAAGAAGGGGGAAAAAAAAAAAAAAAAAGCTCATTTAAAAGAATTAAAAATAAGGGCCAGGATTGGACTAAATTAAAAATACGAATTTTGAAATAAAAATAACTTAATCAAACCTCACTTTTTCATATTATATTTATAAATTTAATAATTATTAAGCCTAATTTTATTTAGATTATTCTTTTTTTGGAAAATAACCATAGTTTTCCCTAACCTTAATTTCATGACACTTTCTTTTCAAATACTCCAATATTATAAGTTTAAAGTAAATTTTGGTCTTTATAATTGTTACTAATTTAAGTTTTTTATATACATGTCTTTTATTTTTTAGATTATAAATAATATTTAAGTACTAATTTCTACAAGAAATTTTAAAATTACAACGATTAAAGTTCATGGGTAATCCAAAAAATCCGTAAGTAACACTTCATTTTTAACAAATTACATACAGACAATAATCTGTCGATAAATTGCTCGTTTGAAACATTTATCAATGAATTTTTTCCGCAGGTAATACCCACAGACAAAATTCGTGGGTATTGATGATAATATTTTTAAAAATTTATTTTAAAATTATATTAAATAACACATTTATTTAGTACAACATTCTTCATATATGATCTTTTAATAACTCCACTCCACGATATTTCACACAACACCCGTATTTAGTAAAACAAGTGCGTATCTGTATATCTAGGTAGTTATTGGGAAAAATTCAAGTCCCACATCGACTAGAGATTAGGCAATTGAATAGTATATAAGTGGAAAACAACCCTCACCTTACAAGCCAGTTTTATAGGGTTGAGTTAGACTTAATCCACTATTCTAACATGATTTCAGAGCCATTTAAATCTACTTTAAAAATGGGCCACCCACCATTGATGCATGTCTCATAGGCATGAGGGAGTATATTGGAAAAAACCCAAGTTCCACATCGACTAGAGATTAGACAATTGAATAGTATATAAATGGAAAGCAACCCTCATCTTACAAGCCGATTTTGTAGGATTGAGTTAGGCTTAATCCACTATTCTAACAGTTCACGCATGTCCTTATAATTTTCTATATAAAATTAAAGTTTTAGTTCATGAGGAATCAGTTTCTTAAGTTATTCAGATCAGTCATTCACGAAATTAAAATTTAAACTATTTATATTTTTATAAATTGTAGGAACCAAAATTTTAAGAAATCGAAAGTTCAAATTGGTACTCTACTTTAAATTCATCATATAAACTCAACTATTTTGATCTTCTCTACTATAAAACTCCATTTGAAAAGGCCAAATACTTTTCTTTTGTGCTCATCTAATCTTTATCAAACTTCTTGTTTGTGCATTGAAGGGAATAATTTTGTAAAAGATCTTGAAGCACATGTTCTACTTATGCTAAAGGTCCAAAAAGTTTTGGTAAGCAGCCTTTTAAAATGATAGTAACAGAGAATTGAAAGTGTAAAAAATAATCTTGCGGGGCATCGAGAAAATTCTGAACTGGTTGGATTAGAATTTCAATGTTGCAGACTTCAATTAGGAGAACATCAGTTCGATATACGAAGATGTCTTGTTATCATATCCATGATAATAAGACCACTGTTCACAAGTTTTGCTTGCTTTATAATATTTTTAATTGTTTTCTTTTCTTGGATTTTTTTTTTCTGTCCATGGAGTATCCATCGTCGATAGTGATGACTAATCTCCGTCAATAACAATGATTAATCTCCTCGCTACGTTGGAGACATCTCAAAAAATAGGATAGATGGCCCCGAGATTTAACGCGACTACATACACAAGGCAGGATTCAAACTCCTGACCTTGCTTAAGCGTGGATCAACCCCTACGGCTGAACCATACGCTTGGAATTTTAGATCTTAAATATCTACGTCTACATTTCTTACTAAATCAAATACTAATAAATTATTGGTGTAAGAATTAAATTTAGTCTCCTTTAAGTAATTTCTCAAACTTGAGTTTGTAGATAAAAGAAATGTAATAATTTAAAATGAGATATAACTAAAAGTAATTAATCATGTTTCTTATTTAAAATTAATTATCAATAAAATCAATAAATATTTCATATCAATAATATAATTTTAAAAAAAGCTTATTTCGTTAACAATCAAATATTATAAAACATACTACCTATTAACATGAATAAACTAAAATGGATAAATAATATTCTCTATATATAATAATTGTTGTGTTGTATTTCTATAGCTTTAGTTAAAAATTAATATAGCTAAATTCTTAAACATAAAAATTATCAATTTCTAAAAATTAGTCAAATAACCTATTTTACGAACTAACAATTAAATTTTGGGTGAATCAAAATAACAACCCTCTCTTTAATATGTTGTATAAGAAAATTTATCATTTAAACTAAAATTAGTAACTCTAAAACTTATGTCAATGATTTTAATAATAATAAAAGTAATAATAATAATAATAACAATAATAATAATAATAATAAAAATGATAATAATAATAATAATAATAATGATAATGATAATAATAATAATTATTATTATAATATCAATTATATTTATAATTTTAAATAAATATTTTATTTTATGCTATTTATTTTAATCTAAAACGTTTGTTATATGACAAATTTTTATTCTCACATAACAAATCATTCTCATTAAAATTTGTTTTTAAGATAAATATGTGATTTTAAATAAGCATTTTATTTCGTTTATATAATTTCTCATCAAAATGGGAAAATATAAGTGATAATTTTTGTTGAAAGTTGATTTTATTAGTTAAAATTCGGCAATTAAGATTAAAACAAATATGCACTTGTTTTGACAAGGATTACGAAAATTGAAAAAGAATTTTGGATAGGGTACCCCTAAGGCCTAATCCTATTTTAATATTGCAAAACTATAAACAATGATTAAGTGATTAACAAAGCCGGTTTCAATCTGAGAAAGCTACTATTAGTTTCTACAACGAAACCGAACCGTTGAGAAACATGGCTGACACAAACCTCAGCGACGGTTCCATTAAAAACATTCGATGCCATCACTGCGCAGGACCCCTTTCAAAGGACATGGTTTTTTCCGATTCCCAACTTCAACACTTTCCCTCGATTCATTTATTTTTTATTTTCAATTTCTTACATTTGTTCTTTCTGATTTTGTGCAGGAAACCAGTAACTGGACTGTTCCCCCCCTTGTCAGGGACAGTTTTTCTATGGTCAGTTCTTCCCACCCCACTTCCTTTTTATTCTCAAAATTCAAACTTTTTTCGTATTTTGATATTTACTGTAAAGTGTTGGATCTAATATTGTGATGGGCAGTGGAATTTGTTTTTTATCTTTTGTAAGGGTTTTTGAGCTCTTGATCGTTAATCGAGGGATATTAATTTTATGCAGATCGGTTCTGCCGTTGGTGGCACTACAAGTGCATTTTATGGATTCAACCATGGTTTGTGTTTTCTTTTTTTTTTAATTTGGTTTATGCATTTATATTTGAATATATTTTAGCTCAACGTGGTAGCTTGTTATTCTGCTCTACAGGGTAATTGATGTCTGGAAAATGTAAAAATAGGCATGTATGAAGCTCACAACTTTTTTGTGATCATTTTTTTAATGCTCCACTCTCATGAGTCAACTAATATTAGTCAGTACGATGTTAATTTAGCTCTCTTTTTATTTTATGTTAAAAGCATAAAATACTGTCATTAAAACAAATTATATGTTGCAATTCGTTCAAACTTAAGTTGGGGGATCTAGGGCATTTAGTAATAAGATGAACGAGACTCTCTAAGTTTTATTGATTTGGTCATTGTAATTGCGGAGATAGTTCATGTTCTAAACTGAAGGAATGAAGTTTTAATGCTTAGTATTAACAACCAAGACTATTTATTCAACGGGTTTCTTTTTTTTTTTTCTTTTCTTTTTTTCATTTACAATGCAGTTATGCCAGTTGTTCGGAGATGCATAAAAGGACCGATGTGGTTACATTTCCTCGTTGGTGTAAGTTTCTTGCACCTTTTGAACCATTTCTTTTTATTCAGTTTTTTTTTTGCTTCTGCTGTTCTCCTGCTTGATTATTTTGTTTACTGCTGACATTTATATTTAAATTCTTACATCAAGTGTCATAAACCTCTTATAGTTTTCAATTGTAACATTTAACCATTTGTGATCTAGGAGATTTACTTCTTTAAATTAAATCTCATGGAGAATTTTTTTTTACTAAGAGTCTGAACTTCTTTCTTTTCTTTTCTCCAAATGAATGGTCAAAAATTGATGCAATCTTTCTTTGTTGGCAAATTAAGCGTAAAAATGAGTTTGCAACCCCGGAAGAAAACCATTTGTCCCAAATAATTCTTATCAGATAGTGAAATTATTTTTGCTTGTCTACTAGCTATGACATCCTTTGACTGTTAGAGGGAAACTACTGCAGTACTACCATTCCTATGATGTTAAGAGAACAGCCCCCATGACCTAGAGACCTTTGCTTCTTCCATTTATGAATAAAGTTAGTCACTTCTTCAACCCATGCATTGAAGTAACCTGACTTATATCTCGTTCTATAATCTGTTAGAGAATCATGATGCTATGATAGAACTTTAATACAAGTACTTCTTGTGCGTATCAGTTTGTTCCTTCATGATTACTCTGCAGATGCTTCCATGATTATTATAGTCTTAGATACTTTGATTTCCACTTGGCAAAAGGGGACATATCTTACTATATAAATGCTTCCATGATTGAGGCAGGGGATTGGCCTTTGTTACATTCCTGAAGCAGTTTTTCTATCAGCTACATATTACCACTTGCTTTGAAATTTTTTCCTTGAGGAAATTTTAGTTGCATCTTCTTAAACACTAAAATGCTGTTTACATCATCTTTAACCACCATATTTGTTTCATCTTGGATCAGTCCTGTTTTGATGTATAAATCATTGGTTGATCTCCCAGTAAAATATTCTTTGTTTCCACTATTGGTTTAATTGTGTAATACATGGAAGTTCCAGTCATATATTTTTTGGTCTAGTTTGGACTTTAGCATGTGTATGTAGTCTCTTCTATGCTTTTCTTTTTCTAATTTTTTTATATGACCTTGTTCATGTTGGCTTGTGTGGGACATACTTTGCATATTGGGTTATCTGAAATTAAGTTCATAGGTATTCAAACATTATAGAACTTTTTCTCATATTATGCCAGAAGAAACACTCCTAGTGCAGAACTTTCTGCCTTATTACTTAAATGAAAACTTGTTAATTGTTTACATCATACTGACCGAAATTTCTCTGGTTTCAGACACCACCTGTGATAGTATTTTCTTCAGCCTGTGCAGGAGTGGCAGGTGAATTTCTAACTGTATTATTACTTATTTTGCTTAGCCTATATACTACTATATGTCTAATTTATAGGGTTTTTAGTTTAAGCTTGAGCTATGCTAACTGACTAACTTCGTAGTGTAGTGTAACAAGTTCCACAAACTCACATTTCTAAAATTTCTCACGTTTACAAGATTGTTTCATGTTCAAAAGTGAAAACTTCATGGTCTAAAATTTCTGACGTTTTCTGTGCTAGATAAGTGGTAACATTTCCATTGTTTCTATCCTTGTGATGTATAATTACTGTGTATCTGAGTTGATAACAATGTGATTGTAATAACTGCAGGTGGGGCTGTTCCAGCTCTTGCACAACTTGTTTCCTCATCTTACAATGCAGCACTATCAACTCCTCCTTCTGAGGATGATAAGATTCAGAAGTCAAGAACTTCCTCCGCTCTCTAAAATTTACTCATACTTAATATAATGTTTTACTTGCACTATAATCCTGCATTCATACTATATATTTGCTGAGAGTTTTGTTTTTCTCATGTAAATGATGCTTTTCAGCTTTAGTCATCCACTTTGTAAATTCAGCTCCCTCAACTGGTTCTATAGTGATTACCTCAACTTTGATTTTATCGTTTCGTTTATTATGTTATGATTTGTTAATCAATGGGATTTGTTTTTCTAGTTAGGTTCCCTGCGCCATCTCATGAATTTTACATTTGTTATTTTTATTGGTTTAATAGAAGTTACTACTAAAATCTAGACAGTACTTAGATATATTAGTATTTTTTCGTTAAATGATTTTTTTATATTACACTTAAATATATTAGTTACGTAAATGTTTTTCAATTAAAATAACATTTCATCTAATGCATTTTTAATTAGAAGCATGTATGAAGTGGTCTTCAAATTGGGTTTTTAGAGCACTCCTTAGAATAAACAAACTTCCTCAAGCTTCTGGAATACAACACTAAGACTACTTCCTAATAGTTAATTCTAAATATAGGTCTAACTAATTCACTCAGTTCTTATTGTTCTCTTCATTTTATGTTTTAGTTCTTTTCGTACTCTATTTTAAGTTTTAGTTCTTACATGGTTTTTTGTAGGATGTATCACCATCTGCTTTTTGGCAGCGCTTTATACTATGAATATTTTTTTATTTATTAATGGGGATCAAAACTTTTATGCATTTTGTCAGAAACAAAACATAATTTTCTTGTATAGGGACTAAAACTTAAAATGAAGACACTAATAAGAACCAAATGAATAATGTAACTAACTTTATTTTGATAACTAAAGCATCATACTTAATTTTAGTATGTACATTACAAATTACTTTTAGTGGTTTTAACCATTTACAGTTTGATAAGTTGTACAGTTCATAAGCCTATTAGTTTGTTAGTCACGGACGTGTTAATCGATAAAAACTATGGCCTTTATAGTGATAAACTAATTATTTCATAAGCCTATAGACTCATTAATGATATATACAATTAGGAATTAGGGTGTTCACGACTTGATTTTTGTTTCAAAAGTCTTTCAAACGAAATAATAAAATTAAGTTTTATTTAATTTGAATGAATTATAAAATGTGATTCAAACTAAATTAATTGTTTGCAATATGATTTGGTTTAATTTTTATGATTTTTAAAATTAACTAAAATATATAATATGTCATTTATTTAAGATTGGATGTAAAAAATAATAGTAGTACTAAAATTATACAAACCAATTCTTATCTTTTATTATTTTAGTAAAAAAAAATTATTAATACAATTTTAATTATCATATTAAATATTTTTTCATGTATATAGTTTGTCACTTAAAAAAATTACTTTTGGGTGTTAAAAATAATTCATAATTTTTCATTCAAAAATTCAATTTAGTAACTTACAATTTTATAAAATACCTCTAAATTATTGTAACATATCTCTTGAAAAGAAAAAAGTAAAAATTCTTTTAGTAGCTTACAATTTTATGAAATATCATTTATATTATATGTTAATTTTGTATACACGTACTATGCATTTGAAGAAAAAAAACATTTGCAAATAATTGTTGTTTGGTTTGATTTGAAGTAATTTTACATTTTAATTCGAAAATCAAACCGTTAATTTACAATTTACAATTTTCTATCGATTCTCGGTCTTTTAGATTGACTTGTAATTTTTTGTTTGAATTAGTTTGATTTTGAATACCTAGACACAACACTCTATTGAAAGCTTTAATATGAAACATACATTTAATGGAAAATTAAGGACTCTCGATCATTAACGAAAAAGAAAATCAACCGTTAATATCAATGTCAATTCCTGGTTGACAAAGTTCAGTACAATAGTAACACCCGAAAAGAAAGTTACTCACAAGAACCCGGGGACTTGGGACCTGTTTGTGTTGTATTAGAAATCAATTCTTCACATTTTACACACATTTTAATGTAAAATTGGTAGTTGGAATTAATTTTGACACACTTTAGTTATACTTGATGATTTAAAATCAATTCCTCTTTCAAGATGTGCAGTGATGCAGTTGAGAAAAGTAAAATAAAGGATACATTGTCTGCACAAATGTGCTTGTAAGATACCCTTCCAACATACTGTGTAAACTTCACTTTCTGAAGGGTAGTCCATCAATTCTTTGTGCTTTGAGATACCCTTGAATCATACCTTACATTACAACCAATACTGCTTTGTGCTTTGAGATAGATGACTCACTCTCTTTTAACATCATCATAAATATGGCGAACGAATAGAAATGAAACTCGGAAACTAATGGCACCAAATATTAGGAAGAAAGCGTAGCATAGGCATGCATTATAGCCAATAAAGAAGGATAGCTGCAAGAATCCACTCATATTTGATCTCACGTAGAAGTAGATACAATATCCAAACATGAAAATGGCTGTTGAGCCACCACACAGCACTGATCTGCACCCACCAGAAAAACACATTAGTGTGACAATTGACAAAGCCTCATACTAAAGGGTGCCTAATGTTTATAGATTTTTTTTCCTCCCAAATTTCTAATGAAAACATCATAAAATGAGAATATTATAATTTGTTTTACTCTTTGTTAACATAAATTTAATACCGTGAAATTATGAACCAAACCATTTGAGTTTTTTTCAATGAAAGAAAATAGGTGTTATTAAAAGAGTTAAGAAAGTACAAAAGGGGTGAGAAGTACCCTTAAGACTTCAAAGGAAAAACAAAATAAAAACACCAGTAAAGAAGGAAAATGGAATGCAACAAGCCAGCCAACCTCATTCCTTGTCTTTTAAAGTCATTGAAACAATTAAGTATTTGAATTGATCATAACATAACCATATCCTGATGGTCTTTTCCCCAGTAGAGATAGCTGTCTAAGTCTAATATGACCATTGACCACTTCATCTAATCATTTCAACTCCTGTACAAGCTTTGATATTGAAAAAAAAAATGCTATATATAATATGTCTCTATCTTTCATTTTGTAAGATGGATAATAGTTGTGATATCAGAGTGAATCTTAAACAATGAGGATCAATTAAATGCATTATTTATATTTTCCGAGAGGTACTACAAATTAATTACGTCCATACTCAATCATCACCACATTAATTTCACTTAGGATGTCATTGTCATGGATATCAAGGATCAAATATTACTCCAGCCACACAAACAAAAGAGGAAGGAGGGTAGGGGAGAAAAAAAAAAGCATTAGATACGTGCAGGCTGCAAGCATTGATGTCAGATAAGTAACACAACATACCTCCACCACCACTCATGGTCTTCAACGGATAGTTGAATGTATGTCAAACCAATACTAACAAGTGCAATGATCACAATGACTGGTATGAATGTGGCAAACAAAATGCTAGGAAGAGTGTATATTTTGTAGCCCCACATACTAGCATACACCTGGTGTAGTTGCAGTACAATTGCACTGAATGGCACAAGTCCCCCAAGAAACATTAGAAACGGCGTTCTCCTGTACCAAGCAAGCAGTTGAGTATCTCTCGAATGTCTCTTTGTACCAGAGGGGATTTGAAATTTAGATCTAAAACGATATCCAATCACACCACCAAATGCAAGCAATGGGATGGCAAGAAATGTGAATAAAACAAGAACGACAACAATGGAGCCAAATGGGAATCCAGTTGTAGCCCTGTAAGATATTGCAACAATGTTGAGGATAGAAGCTGCAACAAACACTGGTCCAGTGTAAAGAATCCCTGCTAGACTAACAGTCTTTTCCTGGAAGCATAGCCAAATCACATAATTGTTATAGCCTTATAGGTAGTTATAAATAACACTAAAAGTGAAACATTATTTTTTTCTTTCTAGTGAAATTACATATAGAATTACCCATCCATTCTCGGCAAACTGGCCATAGAAGGATGCTGCAGTGTACCCAGCAAAAACAGATGAGAGAGCATATAGCAAGACAAGCCAATTTAACAGTCCTCCTCTGTTGTAGGGATAGAGGGTGCCAATAAGTGCTAGAAACAGCAAGACACAAAGCCTAAAGGAAAAGGGAACATTATTTTATATCAAAAGAGGAATAAAGTTAAAAGTCAACTGATTTTAATTATTATCTTTTCTAACATTACACAAACAAACAGTAATAATGATCAATGACATGGCTGTATGACAAGCTAGATATCTAAGTCACACTAACTGCTATTTCAGGAAGCCAAGAACTAATTTTGACATGCATTCTATTGTGTATATGGGGAGAGATGTAGAGTGAAATAAAACAGATACAGCCTTTGGCAAGACAATTACGGCTCAAGGTAGAAAAACGAATTTTGATTGAATCATGATGCACAACTATTAATAAGAAACCAAGTGAGTTGCTAATATGCATTTAGTTAGTACATAGGTTGCAAGAATAAGGATAGAAAACTAGCTATGAAAGATTGCAAAACCTAGCCTCAGCTTAGTTTAAAGATTTTTATACAGAGAATCAAAAGGAAGTGAGATCCACATCATATACCTAACCATACATCAGACCAAATCAGGAAAAGCAGAAAGCAAGTGGAAGGAAAATGTTTTTGGCCTTTGCTATCACTTGATAGTCTAGGTTCAGATTGCCAAAGGATTTGATTAAAAACCTAGGTTGGTTGATGCATAGATGAAACTATACATCACACGCCTTCATATATGATAGTCATGATATTGCCATATAAAGACTAGAGGCTGAAATCTGAATACATGGCTTTTGGGGAGAGGATTGGGAATATGTATTTTGACCACAAAAGCAGCTTACAAGATTAGCAATTGGGTACCAGTTCCCACAACAGCAAAAAGTAAGGCCGAGTTTGAAGGAGGTCTGAATACATCGCCATGGAGGGACTTCCAACCAACCTCCTTATCTTCCTCATTTGCATTAGAATACCTAAACGTAAACGAAAAACCATTAGGCTAACAAATGATGACATCCTGATTATACTCTGCTCTTATAGAATTAAGAATAAGGAAGAAAGTTACTTTTTCAAATCACTTCCCAGATGCCGCATATAAAGCAGGGCAAGCAAACCAATCAAAAGAAGAATGATGGCAATTGAGTTAACAAATGAAAACCAATGAATTTGCTGATGAACCGGCATCAACGAAGCTCTAGAGTATCTATCCATCCTGTTCTCAAAACGTACTTTAGTGGCATTCCAGATAACAGAATAGGTGAACTTAACATCAACACCAACATCACTAGTAATGTCTACAGCACGATTCGGATCGCCAAATGCATTTACTTGTATGATTTGATTCCCATTGTAAAGAATATCAAATTGAACATGAGTAAAAAGGTAATAGTTCGGTCCTCCTCCACCAGGAGTCCATCCATCCTCTTCAAGTTTCCCAATGAACCCCCAGAATGGAAGATCATCCAGGTAAAACTGGAAGTAAAAATCGCGGCTTATAGCTTGCCTCAAGATTGCAACTTGGTCAATTGTAAGCTTCTTAGGGCACAATGTCTCATCAATCTTCTCCTCCCTGAACTTGAACTCATACTTTGCATTGCTCAAACGGTCACCATTAAGAACCTCCCCAAGGGACTCTTTCTTTCTGACAATTGGGTCTGTGAAAAACACAACCTTTTTACAAAATTACAATCCAAGTGGTTCCAAATTCCAATGCAATGATATTCATTTGATCCCATTTTTCAACACCATGAGATTAAACCTTAAACCTAAGACCAAGGGCAACTAACCTGGGGTGCAGAATGGCAAATCATAGAACTCGTATGTCTCACTGCCACAGGCAAATTGTGTAAACAAAAATTCAATTAACATAAACATGGGGAAAAACAATGAGGAAAGGGATAGAACCTGGGGTTGTTGAAGGGTCCTACTTTGTTGACAAAGAATGGGACAACATCTCCAACATCGTAGAGGTGATCGGAGGATGAAGCTGAAGAAGATTGTAGAGTGGCACAGAGAAGAAGAAGAAGAAAAAGAAAAAAAAGGAAAATGAGGTGGCGGGGTTTAGCCATAGATGCAGGTGGTGAAGCTGAAGACTGAAGCCAGATTCAGCGCTTTTCAAACTCACCGAGTCAAATGCTTACAGACACAACACAACACATGACACAAGTTGTGAAAACAAACAGGTACTACATAAGATCAAACAAAATTAATCAAAATAAATGAAAATGGTTCTGCTCACTATAATTTAATTCCCATATACTGTCGAAAAGAATATATATTCAATAGTACTTTTAACAAGTATATAACCTTAAATATATTTTCGGTGCTTCAAATATTAATTAAAAAAAATTAAATTGAAAAATTAATATTCAATTTTATAATTAAAAAACTTATTTTAGGCTAAATATATGTAATATAGAAATAAATTTGAGTTTTTATAATAAAAATAAATTTATCTGATCCGTTCAGCCTTGCAACAAAAGAGATATTCTTCGTTGGTTTTTTTTTTTCCGCTTTCAAAACATTGTTATTGTTTGATTAATTTTCAATACAAACATTTTACCTGTTTAAATTAAAATAATAATTTTATGATATAAATGGCTTAAAATTTAATATTTTTACCGGTTGAGAAAAATGTTGAAATATTTTTTTAGATATTCATTTAAAAAATACATAACTATTGTAATTGTAAATATAATTTTAGCTTAATATTTGAAAATTAAAATAATTTGTTTACAATATGATTTATGCATTTAAAAAATATTTTATCTTTTGCCTCAATATTTTTAATTTTTAATCCTATTATTTTTCTTAAATGAGAATTGTACTCATTTTGTAGTATAAAATAAATAAAATATAATAAATGATTTGGTCAAATAAATGATTTAATATAAAAAAAATATTAGGTGAGAACAAAGATAATCTCGTCTCTTGTTCACTTCTTAGTAAACTTACAATTATAGTTCAAAGTAATGTTTTTAATTTAAAAAAAAAATCAATGAGTAGCAAGGTGAAAAGTTTAAAAGCTATTCATAATAACAACAAAAACTTTAATTATAATTTGCGCCTATATATAATTATAATTTAAGATTATCGATGTATATGTATCAAAGTTTCTTATTTTAGATAACTTAAATCTAGTTAATCTAATTTATAACTATATTGAGTATTTATCTCAATATTTTACTTCAAATTAAACATGTGATTAATATTCGATCAACTATCTTGACCTTAATTATTAATGTTATTATCTCTACAATTATTATCAATATTATTTTTAGCACAATTCTTATTATTATTGTTCTCATTAATTAAGATAACAATAATTCATTATAATTACTAATATTAAAAATGACTTTGTAATAAATTTAACATTATTTTATTTGTATTGTTTATTATTTACCAAACAACTTTAGTACAAAAAGTTGTCAAGTACTTTAAGCATTTATTTTATATTATTCTCCTTTTCTTATATTATTCTCTTTGTTTTGTACATTAATGCATATCAAATGCACCCAAAGTTACTGTCCTATCAATAAAATTTTGTTTAATCAAAACTTATTTAAATAAAAACATTTTTCTCATAATTAAACTTGTTTAATGTTAGCAAATATAAAAGAGGTAAGAAAAAGAGAAAAACAACAAAATAGTTTATATTAATTTGTCTCACAAATTGAGACTATGTTTAATTCTTAATGACAATTAAGATTTCTACGAACACAATTTATATGAATCCTGGTAAATGGAGCAAAAGTGTCAAAGTAATCTAATATTTAGTTTATAAGTAAACCATTTAGCCACCAATCTAGCTTTATACTTGTCTATAGATCCACTAGGGTTATATTTTTTTCTCTTAAAGATCTACTTACACCCAACAGGTGTTGATCCTTTTAGGTAAATCCACTAATGTCCAAGTATTGTTCTTTTTGATATAATTAATTTCAATCTTAATAGCTTGTTTTCAAAGATTTGCATCTAAAGAACTAATAACCTAAAAGTAACTCAAAGGACCACCATTAACAAGATAAGTATAAAAATCATTTCCAAAAGATTTTTCTTTCCTTTATCTCTTACTCCTCCTAATACCTTCACACATCTCTTCACTACATGTTTCACTAGGTTGTTCATAACTATCATCAAGATCTTCTTTGGTACTAGCATTGATTCTAACCTTTAAAAGAAATATGTCCTCAAAGAATTTAACACTCTTAGTTTCTAAGATAGTATTGCACTTGATAACATTACTTTTGAGGACAAGAAACCTATAGGCAACACTATGTTATGCACAACCAATAAGCATGCAATCAGAAGTCTTAGGTCTTATTTTCTTTTATTAGGATCAGGTAACAACACTTTTGCTAAGCATCCCCGCACTCTCGAGTACTTCAAGTTTGGAAGATACCCTTTCCACAACTCATAATGTGTCTTACCAATTTTCCTATGTGGCATTCTATTTTATAAGAAACAAGTAATTAAGACTTATATTTTTTCCTTTTAGCTATTCCATTAGACTCTGACGAATAAGGTGGAGTTACTTCATGAATAATACATTCTTTTTCACATAAATCATTAAACAAAGTGTACTCACCTCCCTTATCTGATTTTATCTCATTTAATCTTTTTATTAAGTTAATTTTCTAGTTCAATTTATAAGATAAAAAAAAATATTAAAAACTTCATCTGTATGTTTAAGAAGATAAACTTTAGTATATCTTAAGTAATCATCTATAAAGGTTATAAAGTAATTTTTACCACCTTTAGACATAGTTTGTTTTAAATTAACAAGATCAAAATGAATTAAATCAAGCAATTTATAATCACGTTGAATAAGAAGCCAAGGCGTCTTAGTTAACTTTGATTCAACACATATATCACACTTTTGAAATATTTTTATCATGCAAATTAATTAAGCCCAAACTTTGTAATTTAATAATATAAAAAGATTTTGTATGTCCTAATATAGCATGCCGCATGCCATACAAATCAATCATATACATAGAAATAGATTCATTTGTAGCTCTTGAAAGGTTCAAGACAAATAGTCCATGATCACAATATCCCTTTCCCATAAACACATTATTCTTAGTCATAACAATTTTGTCAAACTCAAAAAAGACTTTAACCCTAACATTACTTAACAATGCTACAAAAATTAGATTAACTCTAATAGTGGGCACATGCAACACATCACTTAAAGCAAGTGTATTTCTAGATGTGAGCTTCAAAAGAACCTTTCTATTGTCTAGAACTGGAGTAGTACTAGAGTCAATAAGGTACACATGTTCTTCTCCATTATCCATAGAAGTGTAGGAGGTAAACACATTTTTGTTTGCATAGATATGTTTGGTAGCTCCATAATCAATTACTCACTTGCTCATATTGGTCACAACACTTGCTTGAGAAACGATCGTAGCAATAATATCATCTAATTCACCTAGGTTGGCCTTAGGCTAAATAGGATTTTTGCTTCTCCCATTCTATATTTGCACTGAGATGCATGATGTCCTCACTTTCCACAAATATCACAATGTCTTTTTTTTTCCTTAAAGGAGGGGATAGATGTAGAATTTCATAAGGAATTATTATGATATTTCTTTCTTCTATTATGATCATATTTGTTATCGTACATTTTTTTTAGCTAGTTTATCTTCCACCACATTTGCTTTTACAAATAATGCCTTCAATCTTGTAGCAACACACTTCTTCCTGTTGGTATTTTCTATGATGATATGAGTGATGAGGTATGTTAATGACTTTTACTTGTGTATGTCTTTTAGTTGTTATTTATAGTCCATCCATGATTCTAGTAGCTTTTTAATTAGTAGTTTGGATATAAACTCATCAGACAATGTGATATTTTTAGCCTTCAAATCTTCAAGTAGTTTATGGTACTCATTGATTTGAACTTTCATGTCTTTGTCTTTGATCATCGTCCAATAGTAGTAGTTGCCAATGGTAAATTGTTTAATAGTATATTTGAGGATGAGGGATTCCTAAATATCCTTGTTTTCCTTGTAGGAATGCACTTAGTAAAGTGTGACAACTTACCTTATTGGCTTGGTTCCAATCTTCAATCTGTTTCGTTATTGCCTTAGAATCTGGTTTTGGAGTGGTAAGGGCAAACACAACTCTGTACATGTCGAGTAAGGTATAAACATGTTCTTGCTAGCAACGGAAGTTTTGTCTAGCAAAAACTTTAATTTTGGAGACATTGGGCAACAACTTCACACATGTCGGGGATACAACAACAATAACAGTTTGTGGGTCGAGAATCATGTTGTTAGCCATTTTAAGTCCTTTAGATTGTAGTATAAACAATTGATAGATGAATTTCTTAAGGCGTGCACTCTTCTAAATGACTTTATTTGTAGTATCTATGCAAGTTTTCCTAAGATACAACATGAATGTCTTAGTTTTGGAATCTGAGGGTTGTAGAACTAGTAAGAAGAAAAACTCAAAACCCAAAGCAAAGAAAAAGAAGAGATATGTGAGAAAGAAAATAATTTTTTTGTGTGTGTGTGTTCCCCCTTTAGAAGAGACGCCTATTTATAGGGAGTGGGGAGACATCAGATGAAATAAAAACATAATTAAAGAGAATAAAGAGCAATAATGTAGCAATGGCTAGAAAATAAAAATCCATTAAAAATGAGATTTTATAAGTAAATCAATTTCTAAAGATGCTAAAATCATTACTCTCCCGAATTTTTTAAAATATTTTAAAACAATATTAAAAAGACATAAAATTGCAAGAAACTCACTTGTATCTCACATGTAGGGAGGAGGAGAGAGGCAAATCGGTTCTACAATAAACTCACTTGGACCATGTATACACACATAAGTCTTTCTACTCTTGTTAGCCTCTTTATATGTCTATATCACAACTTGATGTATAAACCATTCTCCAAAGATAATATTAGTCAATATAAGACTTCTACCTTTTTGTAATACCTTATAATAATTGTTACTATGCTACTTTCTCACTTAAATACTAAAATCTTTTTAAGTAATCACCACTATTATTATTCATCACGACACTTAGAAGGAAAAAACAATCATAGCAATTCAATATTAGACTAGTCTATATAAATTACAAACGAAAAACACTTCTCAAATAATATGTATAGAGATTACATCATGATCACATGAAATTATTAAAATAATTAATTGTTAATTCTTAATGACATCTTAAAAAAATTAATTTATCAACAATATAAGTAATTATTCTCTGGCTATTATCACTACTAGCGATATTATTATCATCTTTATACATTTATAATTATTATTATTATTATCACTGTTTTGCTTTCATAATTATTTATTAGTTTTTTTTATCGGCCAAATGAAATTCATTAGAAAAGGCAGCATGATATCAACCTAATTACAACTGAAATTTGAGACAAATTTTAACAAATTTGCACTGCATGTCTGCACCAATCTAATTTACGCAAAACAAGTGCTACATGACCAAAAGTCACTACCTAACCATTACATAAGCATACATGTATGCTTTCAACTACTGATGTCAAAAAACAAAAAAGAAGTTTATACATGTGAAAATCGGATAAAATTCGTCATGAATAAAAAATAAATATTCATGGATATTTTCAAATATTCTTAAATATTAAAAAAATATATGAGTACTGATTTAATAAATATCTACACGAATATAAAATAACGTCAGGGACTAATTTTTAAAAAATTGTATTTTTGTAAGAACTAAAATATACTATTTTTAATGATAAAGATTAAAAGAGAAAATTCGTGCAAATATAAAAACTAAAAAAATAATTAAATCTTATTTAATTTTAAAAATTTAAAATGGTAATAAAGGATAAGAGGGTACCAATAAAATAAAAATATTTGTAATTAATATTGCGTGAATATAACATTAGTGCACTTACATGATTGGATAGTCCAATATGCGAGGCTCATCCATTAATTAGAGTGATCTTAAAAAATGCATGAGACCTCAAAAAGTAAAAAAGACAGCAACAAAATCGTACTTGTCAGGGACTGGAACCAAAGTTGTCGTATTCAACACTAATGGCATTGGATTGGATACCAAAAACAAATGTTATAATCATATTTTTTTTATATAAAAAAATACATTTTAAAAAATGTATATTTTTGTCTTCCTACTTATTTGTAAGATTTAATTTAATATCATTTTTTAGATAATTTAATTAAGTTTTTAATTTAAAAAAAAATACTTAAGATTATCTTTTCATTTAAATTAACAATAATAATTAACAAATGATAAAAAGATGACAAAAACCAAAAAAATTCACACCAATATTAGTAGTGAAATTAATAAAAAGAGTAATGTTTAAGAGTTTTTTAGAAATTAAAAGATTAAATTAAATTATTTAAAAATAGTAAGATTAAATTAAATATTTTAAAAATAAAGATTAAATTAAATAAAAATTAATAAAATATTTTAAATGTTTAATTTAATTTTATTATTTTTAAATTATTTAATTTTGTTCTCTAATTTTTATAAGACATTCATTATTATTTTTTTATCCGATTTCATTATCGTTGTTAATTTAATTTAGATAGAAAGACAATATCAAACATTTTTAAAAAATTAAAAAATTAAATTAAATCTTATAAAATTATTGAAATTAAATTGAATCCTAAAAGAATAAATAAATAATTAAAAATACAACATAAACCCATTTTTTATTACAAGGCAAATCACATGTAATTTACTTGACAATAAAACATTAATCAATTGGTCAGAATGACTAGATCTTCTTAAACAATCTTTCCATGAAATCAGTGAATGTTTCGCATAAATAATAATTACATTAATAAAAAGAAAAACATTAATTGCATTTAATATTTTTACGACATTAAATTTTTTTATAGCATTAAATGTAACAATTTTAAAATGAGGATATATATGCATATTAATATTAATAATGGCATTTAATTTTTTGTATAACATTAATGGTAATTAATTTAAATACTTAAAAATGACTAAATATGCATATTAATATTAACAATTAATAAGTATAAGCTTATATTTTATGGACTCAGAATGAGAATGATGCAATTGCCGGAAGAGAAGTGTAGTAATTGAAACAATGAAATGATGGCATCAAACTCAAAGGAACGAACTTTGGTATGGTTTCACTCTTGAGATTTCACAAACTCATTCTTTTTTCTTCTTCTCAAAATCTTGGTATCCGATCTCTCTCTCTCTCTATATATATATGATCTTTCTCTAACCCATTAACATTCAACAATTGATCCTCATTTGTTATTTTTTATTTTCTAGGTAACCAACAAAATCTTTATCTCATTTATCATTTTATGTTCTTTTCCAATCAATTATTGTTGTTGTTTTTGTTAATGGTGGTGGTGATGTTTTTTTTTTTATTAATTTAATTTCAATTCTGATCCTAAATTTCTTACTTAATTTCTTGATTTTGGTTGCAAATTGATCCAGTGAGAAGGGAAATTGATGGGAGATGTTGGGCATTTGAATCTGGTGAAATTGAATTGAAGGGTTGTTCAGGCGTGATTTTTGAGGTTACTTCCGAAATCGATCTTGAATTGAATTGGGGGATTTAAAAGAAGTGTTCTTTAGTTTGTTATGCTTTTCATTTGTTGTTGGTTGCTTGATAGATATAGCGTTGTGAGGGGTTTTGGAAGTTGCAAAAGTGCAGCATGATGGACCGTCTTCCTGTTGAAGTGATTGGGAACATTCTTTCTCGTTTGAGGGCTGCAAGAGATGTGGTGATAGCCTCTGCAACGTGCAGGAAATGGCGACAAGCGTGCTGCAAGCACATTCAGACACTCTCCTTCAGCTCCAAAGATTGGCCAATGTACCGAGATTTGACAACTACCCGGCTCGAGATTTTGATCACACAAACCATTTTTCAGACCTCAGGGTTGCAGGCCCTCTCCATTTTGATGGAAGATGTGGATGAATTCTCGGCCTCCACCGTTACCGCTTGGCTCCTGTACACCAGGGAGACTCTGAGGCAATTGCATTATAATGTCAAGACTATGCCTAATGTTAACATTCTTGAAATATGTGGCAGGCACAAGCTGGAGATACTAGATCTGGCTCATAATTCCATTGTGGGGGTTGAGCCTAATTATCAGCGATTCCCTTGTTTGAAATCTCTTTCCCTGAGTTATGTTAGTATATCCGCGTTGGATCTGAATCTTTTGGTGTCTGCGTGTCCGAAGATTGAAGCCTTGGAGCTTGTCAATCCTGAGATTGCAATGTCTGATGCTCAGGTGACTGTTGAGTTGAGTAGTTCAACGCTGAAGAGTGTGTATGTGGAAGCAATCAGTTTGGACAAGTTTATATTGGAGGCTGATGGGCTTGAGTCCTTGCACTTGAAAGATTGTGCCCTCGAGTTTTTTGAACTCATTGGGAAGGGGACCTTGAAGCATTTTAAGATTGATGATGTTAGTGTTATACATCTTGATATTGGTGAGACAGTTGAGGATCTTGAGACTGTGGATATCAGCAACTTCACAATTATATGGCCAAAGTTTTACCAGATGATTTCAAGATCTTCAAATTTAAAGAGGCTTCGGCTTTGGGATGTGATGTTTGATGATGAGGATGAGGTTGTGGATTTGGAAACAATTGCGACTTGCTTTCCCACCTTGAGCCATTTATCTCTGAGTTATGATGTGAGAGATGGAGTGCTTCACTATGGTTTACAAGGCTCTGCCTATCTGGAGAATGTTGCTGTCTTGGAGCTTGGCTGGACTGTGATAAATGATCTTTTCTCCCACTGGGTTGAGGGGCTGCTTAAGCGATGTCCCAATCTCAAGAAGTTGGTGATTCATGGGATTGTTTCTGAGGCTAAGTCTCATGAAGAATGCCAGATGTTAGCCAATTTCACCACATCCATGGTTGAGCTGATGAGGAGATACACACATGTAGATCCATATTTCAAGTATGAATAGGATTTCGTCAAACACCTTGTTATAGCTCCAGCCTTCTTTCAAATCTAATTGTGTAGGCTCATTTTTTAAATACCTTGTTATAGCTCAAGCTTTCTTTTAAATCTAATTGTGTAGGCTCATTTTCAGGTAACTTATTGAACTCGGTTTATGCACAACTTTTAACTCATTGTTTGGAATCTTCATCTAGAAATTGTGTGACTAACCAACAATGATAGTTCATGGCAGACATTCAGAATTTTGATTCCTTCTTAGCAAATAGAATGGTCATTAACTAATATAGAAATTTTGCACCTCATATGTTCTGGGAATTTTAATCATATAATTAAGACTATAAAATGAAAATATGAAGCCATTATGGATTCAATTTTGAGGGAAGAGAGTTGTTATGATGAGTGACAGCGTTCCAGTGGCCTTCAAAGGTATGCCATTAAAAACATTTTGCTCAGGAGTTTCATAGTTATTTATCTTCTATTTAAATATATTTAAAGACGTGAACTGATCAAACTATGCATATTTGGACAAACCATAATGGCACAAACTTGCTTTTGGCTTCTCAAAATATGTAGTAGCTTACTAATGTGAGGTTTCCAATCATGCTCAAGGTTCTTGACTCTTAGATGGTCCTGTTCATCTCACAATTTACTATTATTTATTTCCCTCTAGGTGAGGGAGGCAATGGATTTAGGTTCTTGACTCTTGAGAGTGCAACTTTACCCTCTTATTTGCTGGGCATGTTATGGCTGTCTTTCCTTCTCTTGCATGCCTTTTGCTTTTCTCTGCAGCCTCATGGGCAAATATGCGGTGGGGTCATTATTTCAGCTTAAAAGTTTGTAGAGAAGGACATGGTAGCGAAGCCCTTGATATGGTGATAAACTTTTGTGATGCCACTGAACTTCAGATTTCTTGTCATTTGTTAAAAGAATAGACTATTGATTCTGAAGCTGATACTTAAGCCAATTTTCCAGTAGTGTAATCCATTTCGCATATGAATTGCAATTTTTCTTTCCCAGCTACATACGCTGCAATTGGGAACAGACTGTGACATATTCTTAGTGTCTGTCTATGCTCTCGCTCTTCCATTTTTATGTCTGTTGGTTACTTGTTTGTTTATGCATGCACTTGTCTGCACTTCCTGAGACATCGACTATAATCATTCATACCTTGAAAGGATTTACACTGAGTGGAGAGATGGATAACTCTTTACTGAGATGAATAATTGTTGGCTAAGTAATATGGTGAAGTGGTGATAACATGAAACTATAAAAATTTGTTTCAGTACTCTACTCTGCTACTATGTAGAGGTACGAAAAACATGTTTTGGTGTAGATTTTTAGAGTAAGAAGCGTTACTCCTTTTCAAAAAGTAGAAAAACCATTGGATTGAAGAATTGCTCAATTACATAAATATCAATACGAATAATTTTATCAAATCACCCTTTTATTGGAACATTTTTTTAAGGCACTTTATTACTGGTTCCCCCATCTCACTCTTGTTTCAGAAATTCTATTATTTTATTTATTGATGTGGAAGGTAATTTAGTGAAAAGATATAATATTTTAAAAAGTGTTTATGCGAGAAACATTTTATTTTATCATTATTCATATCACAAAAATCATTTTTAATGACAGGAAGTATTTCCTTTGCAATTATATGATACCCTCCGCAAATTGCAGGTTAAATCATCTTATGGTTCAAAACTCAAAAGCTCTTTTTGGTTTAATGGAGGGAAACAGAGAGGTTTTAAATTTAATCTCCTTATTTCTTACTCCCATTTTTATAAAACTCTTCTCAACATTAACTAAACGTATTTTCTTAAAATACTTATAAAATGTCATTTTTGTTATTATATTCTCATAAATTTTATTCACAAGAATAAAAGTTGATAGCTTGAAACAAATGTTAGAGAGAGAATGAGATGCATAGTGAAATTTTTTTTTTACAAATAAAGGTATAGTGAAGGGAAAAAATGGTTGCAAATTGAGCCAGCCTTGCAAATATATATATGTAGTGAATTTGGGTAAGTGCTAAGTAGCTGGTTTGCAGGCCCATGAATTCCCATAATTACAAAGCAAAATGAAATTATATGATATGACATAGGTTCTTCTTTATAAATATTTGTTCTTGGAGCTTTCCTCTCGTACATTAATGGATGATTAAAATATTGATAACCTAAGAACCAACATGATAATAATTATAACAGGGTCCCGCCATCTCTGCTATGCATATATAACTCCATTTATGAGTTATTTATTATAAAAAGCAATCTAGGTTCATCTTGAATTTGATCAGGTTAAAAAGAATTGGGTAGAAAGCAATTATTTTAATAGAAAAACTAACAAGTTTTATATGTGTTGCATGGGTAATTTTAAATTTAATTAAAATTTATAAATAAAAGTAAATTAAAAATGGTAAATGTTTTCATTATTAGTAATAAATATTTTATAATAAATAAAAGTGAACTAAAAGGATAATAATTTTAACACATCATCTTTATTGATGTAGTTTATCAAAATTTATAACTAAACCCTAAAATTAAAATTTAATTGATAATATTTACAAGAAATAGAAATAATTAAATACTTAATGAAAAAAATTGTCAAAAATATTTTTGTTTTTATGAAGACTTATAATTATTATAATATAAGGATGAAAGGGTACTTTCATTTGCATTAAAAACATATCATCATAAACTGAATTCACTTTCACTTAACTATAAACATACTTTTTTCCCTTATATTTTCTGAATTTAAAGATTGATGTTGGGGTCAGTTCAAGATTTTCTTTGCCTTTCAGAGGGGTCCATTTTAAGACTACCAACTTGATCCTCCAAATGGTCTCACAAATTGTTCAATTAATGTCAGTATCAATGCAAATGGTCTAGCAAAGGCAAAAAAAAAAAGTTATAAAGAAATAATGTTCTTTTAGTTGCTTGCTTAGACGACAAGTAAATGACTTAACATATTAGTTGAACATAATCAACAAATAAATAGTTAATTCTAGAATTAATTTGATCCAGACCAATTACCTCTCTGGAGACAAGAAACTGTGGAGCTCAAAGAATTACGGCTCAAGGTAATGCCATATTCGTGGAACAATCTTGGGTCTAGAACATCTCCATGTGAACAACATAGGTTGTAAGGTATATTGGAAACAAAGGTACATACACCCTTAAAATACATATTGACCTAATCCTTTAGACAATTTATATTTTGAGCCAAACCACCTTTTTAATGACCAATCATTGACATCATAAGGGAATAATTGGTAGGAAGCTATAAAAAGATTTAATATTCGATTTTACCTCTTTATAGGATAGATAGGGTACAATGCCTAAATGTCTCCCTCATCCCTCTTTTTCTCTGTCTGTTCTTAATCAACACGTTTTTTTTCATAATATGTTGAGTTTAATTTGTATCTATAAAATTTTCCATAATATCAATTTATCAGAATTCATGATAGTTATATGTTAAAAGACAATAAAATTATCATAATAAAAAAATATTAATTGTTTATTGTCATATTTTTTTATAATTATGTTATTAATAATTATCATTTGTCCATAAATTTAACCGATCACTTTTGTAGTTAATATATTTTTCCTTTTCACAAATTTTAATTCAAAATTTTATTTAAAAAATTGAATTTAATTCTATTTATTAAATTTTCTTGACTAATTTGACTTTTTTTTGTTTATGGATATAATTATGCAATGTATCAAAATTGATAATTAAAGATTGAGACTAATCAAAAGTTACACAATATTTCAAAATTGACAATCTAAAATTAATTAGGCGTGTTTATTCCTTAATAATATTGATCTTAGAATTATATTTTATAAAACCAAAATTGTTGAAATGTAATGATAATGACACTGGTTGAGAGCTAGAAGCCAAAAACATAAACTTCATCTAGTGATGGATTTATGGTACTAATTTACAACAAAAATGAAGAAAAATAAGTTGCAAGAATTTCATTATTGCCGTGTGTACCATATTGCTCGCATACATATATGTCTATGAGTGGAAAAGAATCTTAACATGGCATGGTTTTAGGTGATGACAGGGAATGGATGTTGACCTATCAACGAAGAGGAAAATACCAAACAAATCCATCTCAGAGAAGGGATTAAATACACAAAGTGGGTGTGCTTGTGGAATATTATTCTAATGTTTTGGTTGAAATGGCATGAGCACAAGAAGTGTAGGATATGATGTGTAAAAGAACTCACTTTCATGGTTGTAAAAAAAGTGAAATCCATCACCCCAAGGATGAAGAAAAATCACCTTTAGAGCTTTCTCTTTTCGTCCTCTTTTGCCACCTTTAACGAGAAAGGAAAAGGTAAAAAACTAAAAAGAAAGAAAAACTTGTCTCATCTTGATCTTGTAGTTCTGAATTTTTTGTGTTTCCTACATAAATGAATGCATGACTTTTTCATATTAAGTACATGCAGCCCTGTAGAAGCCCCCCACGAGAGAACCAATAAGAAAACACAGGCGGTTAGAGGAGAGAGAGTGATAGAGTGGAGTAGGAGTCAGTGATTGCAGTGATTTTTCTGCATAGGACCCCACCCCTCTAATTTTAATTAAGTTGAATAAAAAAAAATAATCAACCAATACATAATTATTATAACTTAATCAATGATCTCAAGTTTAAATTTTATGTATGTATGAAATATTTAAAGAAATAATTTTCTTGTTTAAAATTTTCTTATTTGACTTAAACATAATTCATGATAAATTAGTATGTATTTGGTAACACATAATGCCATTTGATGTAGATTTACATTAATTACTTTTCAATTAAAATTGATATGATTATAACTTCGATATAAATTTAGAACTTGCACATGAACATATCCTTAAACTTATCATGATTCATGTATGATTTTAAAGACTTCTACTTTAGTGACTAATATTAATCTTTAGTACAACTCTAATTTAATTGGATAACAATACCAAAAATCCCTAAGAAACTGAACAAGTTTTATAGGTTTTTTTATACTCTTTCAAACCCAAGATTATGGAGACTGCACAAGATTGGTAATTTGGTAGGACAAGATTTGGGGTACCACACTTACACTACCACATAATTAGTAACTGAATCTGAAATATTTACAACTAGGGACAGTGATAAAGCAAGCCAAACACACTTATCAATAAGGTTTCTTCCTAGAGAAGGAGAAAAGAAATTAAGATGGGGACACCCCATGAAAAAAAATGTTGCAAAGAGAAGCATACATGAAAAAAGACTGGACCCTCTTCTTGTGGCAACTTATATATTACTTTGACAAGAAAGTTTTGATCTTTCGTTACTGTGTGAACTTGTCCATATAGGATTTTTTTGTCCATAAAATTCCAAAGAAAACAGGGGTAATTAAAAGTCATATCACTTCCTGGTTTTCATACACAAAGAATTCTCTATATATGTGTATAATTATAATATATATTCATGGACACATACATGCACACACTTCAATTTTTATATTCTCAAGCTTTGGTTATCAAGTTTTGTTTATTGTGAATTGAGTTTCAACTGAATGAGAACTTCTCAGTTTCAGCTTCAGAGAAGGTGAGAATGGTCTAAGTAGCCTTGCATGGCGAGCCAAAGAATAGGAGAAACTGGTTTGTCAGAGTCAGGACCTTCAACTCACCATGTCCCTTATGGAGTTCTTCATGGAATTAATACCCCACCATCAGGCCTAATGTATTTTCCATCTCAGTGTTATCAATACTTGGAAATTTTTCTGTCATACATATAATAACTGAATTCCTTACAGGGAACTGATATTATATGGTGTTTCTTCAATTTTTATAAATTTGCCTTGTTTTAATTTCCATGTTTGTTACCCTTTGTTTCTTAGGAATCAAGGGTCTGCTTTTGATTTTGGAGAGCTGGAAGAGGCTATTGTTCTGCATGGAATTAAGATTAGAAATGATGAAGCCAAAGCATGTATGTTTGTTTCCCTTTCCATGGTTCTCCTTTAGATGATGTTCGATAAGCAAAATAAGCAACTCTTCCCAAAAGTATAGAGAAGAAGGTTTGAATATGCCTAAAGTGTTGAGTGGGGGAAGTTATCATTTCCCATACCATAATGATAAAAAAAAAAATGGATGGCATGGGGATACAATCTTAGAAAAACTTGCATGATTTTCTGACTCCATGATTGTTGAAAAGGAGGATTATGTTCCTCCACCTTTTAATTTGATCATATATAAAAGCCTTTATTTTTGGTGATCCTCTGAGATTTTCCTTTTGTGATTGTAGCAGCTTTATTCACAGGAAGGCCTTCAGCCACACTGGAAATGTTCCCTTCATGGCCTATGAGATTCCACCAAACCTCAAGAGTAATAGTCTCTCTCTCACTTCTCCATCTTTGACCAATCCATACCTAAAGATGCTTGCAATTACAACTAGAACAAATTCAGTAACATCCCAAATTTTTTTCTGTGTACTTTCAATTTGAGAAGGATGTATTCAAATCTTCATTTTCAAAAGTCTAATATTCTTTCACAATTCGCTTTATTATGTACTAAGTACTAACCATTGAAACAGAAATGAAATACTGTTGTTGGTATTGGACATTTAAATCAATCTTTTTGGTGGATTTACAAACATAGGGAGGTTCAAAGTCAGGAGGGGAAAGCACTGATTCAGGATCAGGAGTGAACACTCGGTCAAGCAAAACTGAGCTTCAGTTTGAAACAGAATCTCCAATTAGCATAAAAGCATCTTCTTCAGATCATCATCAGGCTTTTGATCAGCAGCAACAACAACAGGAGACAGCAACTGATGCCTCAAGAAAAGGCACATCACAGAATCAATCAGCAGCAAAATTATCTCAGGAAAAGGTTCTTCAAAACTATTGTTTCCACTGTTAATCTCTCAATTTCTCTCTTTACATGTCCCCAAAACACTGGGAAAGTTGACCTCTTTTATGCAATTATTATTACTGTGTTGCTTGCTTGGTCTTTCTCTTTCTCTCTCTCTCCCTCTTTGTACACTTCTTCAAGCACAGATCCCAACATCCCTCAGAAAATCACACCAACACAGAGTTTCCCTGATTCCTGAACGATTTTCTGATCAATGTCTGACATGAAACATGAGAGAGAGAGAGAGGAGGGGAAAGATGAACATAGAACGTGACAAACAAAAACACAAAATGAGAATCTTTTCAGTACTTATCAATGTTTCTCTTTTTAACAGTGACCCACTCCCACTTCACTGAATCCTCCTCCTTGGACAAATCTTGTGCTTTCTTCTCCCAAGTTAATTGTGGAGTTAGAAATCTAAACCAAACCACAGTATTCACCAAAACAATGGCAAATAAAGATGCTTTTTTCTACTCGCACCATGTTGGTGATTGCACACCACCTCAAGAGAAATGGCCCACAAAAGGGCCTTTGCATTCAGAAATGCTTCCCAAAAATTCTGTGAGCAAATCACATTCGTTTAATCTTGCATTCTTGGTTAAAAGCATGCTTTGCTTTTGCCAAAATGTTGAACAATTTCTTCATTTCCCTCATTGATTTATTCAGCCTCTAGAAAGCTACAAATTTTGGTTTTCAAGTCCCTTTAAGCTGAGTGATTTAACACTTGAGTTTACCTCTCTATTTTCTCACCTTTCTAATCCATTAATTCTTTCTTTTTTGGGTTCTTTTTGTTCAGAAGAAAGGAGCAGGTTCCACATCAGAGAAGCAACTTGATGCAAAGGTTTTGAATATGACACTCATCATACCCTTTATTTATAATTTATGATATTAACATATATCATATTCCAAGGTATGTTAATTTTTTTTTTTACCTAAGTCAAGATTTTCTTGTTTGGTTTGGATTCAGGCACTGAGACGTTTAGCTCAAAACAGAGAAGCTGCAAGGAAAAGCCGTCTTAGGAAAAAGGTGTGTCCCATCACATATTCTACTGTACTACACATACACCATCAATTGATTAGAATAGAAATAAAATATATTATAATGAAAAATGTAACCTCAAATAGATTGTAATTAAATGTGGTGCTGCATGGCAATAGGCTTATGTGCAGCAACTAGAGTCGAGTAGATTAAAGCTCACACACCTTGAACAAGACCTTCAGAGAGCTCGTTCTCAGGTTTATTTTCTCTCTCATTACACAAACACGTGCATAGTGTTTTTTTTAAATTATTTATTTGACTTCTTCTAATGATTATTATTTGTGTTGTTTAACTTATTAGGGACTGTTTATGGGTTGTGGTGGTGCTGGTGGCAATATAAGTTCAGGTGAGTTTATCTGTTCCTTTTGATGTTTTTTCTAAATGCAATTTAATTCTCAAATAATCAAATGATTATGAAGATAAGATAAAAATAAAATAAAAATTATGGAGCATGGAAAAACATGGGTTGATATTTTTATTCTTTTTAACACTTTGGAAAGGGGAACATGAGACAAAGAATCAGCAATATTGCTATCATTTACACGTAACTTCTTTTTCATGCCCTTTGAATCTTTTAGAGCCAAAAATTTAAAAAGTCAAATTTCTATTTTGAAATGGACTTTCAAAATCTAGAATCTGCTGCAGAAGTCTCGGAATTTGACCAAAATATGTGGCCAAATTCTCGTTTGAATCCACTTTTTAAAATAGGCTAATTAATTATAGAGATTAAAAAAAAAAAAAAAACAGTGGACCATTATTCGAAGAAGATCGTACATGATAACATATTAAAATGCAATGAATATAGAAAGCTGGGTGCTACCCTTTCTAAACATGTATATAAAGGCTAGTTTAACTTTTCAGCGAATTATTGATCCATGATAACTGCTTTGTCCACTTTTAGTAAAGAACACGATGTTACGATTAAAGGTAAAAAAGTTTTGAACATAGAATATTAATTAATATTAATATATCCCGACATATTAATGTAAACACAAAAACACATCGATTTTCTCATAAAATGAATTAATAAAATGTGCTAGGTTTCCACTGGTCACCAAACAACCTACATTTAAATTTTAATACAAAAAAATAATATTATTTCTTGATTCAACCACCATATATAATATTATGTCATATAATGCCAATATCATATGAAAGAATTTGTTAAAAAAAAAAATAATTACACACCATACCAATAAAAAGGTCATATAACAATAATACAAACGACTATAAACAATTATGAGCATGTTTGCATATATAAACTTATAAGGATTTTTAAGAGGTTTTCAACCGAAAATAAAAATTATTTTTCAATAGAAAAATCATCAAAATTTCTTTTATACTTCATTGTTACCAACAAGTGGAACTAGCATTAATCAACTTGTGGTGTGTAGGAGCTGCTATGTTTGACATGGAATATGCAAGATGGTTAGAAGATGACCAGCGGCACATGGCGGAGCTCCGGACGGGGCTGCAGGCGCCGCTGTCGGACGGCGAACTGAGAGTGGTTGTGGATGGATATCTGTCTCATTATGATGAGGTTTTCAGGCTCAAAGGGGTGGCTGCTAAATCAGATGTGTTTCACCTTATTAATGGCATGTGGACTTCTCCAGCTGAGAGATGCTTCCTATGGATTGGTGGTTTTAAACCATCAGAACTCATCACAGTATGTGTTATCTATGCACTTTTTTTCTCCCTTAATTAAGATCACACTTCATCTTAATTGCATAATCAATGTTATAATAATATAATTAACTAATAATAAGGGTGTAACTATACTTGGTTTGATTTTAAAAAAATTCTAGTCTTAACATACTGAACATAAAGAGAGGAGATACATCTTGTTCATTTTAAATATGAACTCAGTTGAGAGAATTTGTTAAACATTTATAAATTTGTATAATTAAGAACTTTTTAAACAAATTAAAGTTTCTTTAATGATAAAAAAATAAAGCTTGTTTTTTTCTCAAAGGCCCTTTCAGAATAAATGTGAACTGTTGATGCGAGGGAAAAAAGACAGAAAATAATGGAGAGAAGTTAATGCTTGTGATAAAATCTTAATAGTTTGTAAGTAACATTTTCTGTATAAAGCGTAACTCTTCTATATTGAGACTAATGCATGTGTTTCTTAATATATATATGCATAGGCAAAACAAATTCGCACCCAAAAATATAAAAACATTTAAGGCAAATAAACCCTAAAATGAAAACAGGAGTCATTGATAGAGGTGAGAATATCCAATTTTCTTGGTAAGCATTTTAATTTTTTTCTCAAGTGTATAATTTACTATTTGTAATTTTTTTTGTACATTAAAAATTAAATAATCATACGTTTTTATGATTGAGCAAAGGAAAACGATTTAATTCTACGGAAAATCCTGGCAGTAATTAACGGTAAGACTAATATTTTCAACTACTTAGGTTAAAAAAATAAAAAACAGGAAATTTTTTTGTCAAAAATATTTATTATAACTTAAAGTAATTAAAAACATTTTAAAAATATATTTAACATCCCTTAACTTATTATTTGCATAATACATGCATATGAGTGATAAAAAAAAATAGATATTTATGAATTTATATATTTTGGTCAGATGTTGATACAACAGTTGGACCTCCTAGCAGAGCAGCAAATTATGGGCATATATGGGCTCCGGCAATCGTCAGTGCAAGCAGAAGAGGCTCTCACTCAAGGTCTTGAACAGCTTCAACACTCTTTAGTTGACACCATCGCCGGCGGCTCTATCGGCGGCGATGGTGTGCAACAGATGATGGCAGCCATGGGAAAGCTTGCCAACCTTGAAGGATTTGTTGGTCAGGTAAAGTCTAGTTATAAATTCTATGCACAAATTAATAATAATTATATTTTTTTATAAATGAAATAATATTTAATTATGTGTCATGCTCATGCATATAATGTAACAGATTTTAATTTCGGTATAGAAATAAACAGAAAAAGGGGGAGAGGGATAACTTATTAAGCAAAAATGTCATATAATTATTGAATTGATTGATCACATTATCTAATAACTATAGGGCAATATTTTTCTTATGTCTTAGTGCTAAAGTAATACTTTTTTGTGTACTTAATTTGGTGGGGAGGTTGACATAAAGCCTCAGGTGACATCTGTCAAAGTTCTTAATTCGTAGCACAATTTATATTTGACTGATGATAGGAGAGATGAAGAGAGAGTTTATACGTTTTCATGTCAAAGTTAAATTTGAATTCTTACATGACTTATTAATCCATGGATTTCTAGCTTTCAAATAATAATTGGTTTAAGAAACTTGGCGTGTTTGAAATTGCATTAGAAGAAACCATTCAATTGTCGCAGGTTAAGTGCTAGGGTTTATTGTTTTTGACTTGAAACATTTTTAAAAATCACATCTCATTAATCAATGACACGTATATGTATGAAGTGCTATAATAGCTGAAATGTTACTTTCTAGTTCATTAATTCAGTTTCTTTTGCTCATTAATTGATCCTCTCTTTGCATGTTTTGCGCCGCAATTCTGCTTTGTCTTGTACAAGAAAATTGAGTATCCTTTAACTTAGCCTTCTTATATCACTTCAGATTGATTTAACATGTCCATAATTTACTTCTTGCTACTTTTTTATATGTGGTTAAAATCAAATACACAAAAGCCAAAACTTGAAATTTAAATATACTTTTTTGTTTTCAATCCTTGCACACTTGTCAACTGATAAACATTACCTTACGTTCTTTGATAAGCATCATGGCCTCATAGACTCTATTGTCTCAAGCTTAAGCCTACTACAACTTCTTTCAATGTGATTATATAACTTAATAATTTCTTCTAAATAATTGGGTTGACTTAGATCACCTACTACATGTTCGGCACGTCTTTATTAGTATATATCATTATATTGTTTTTGGATACTTTAGTTTATTACTTGGCGATTTTGCTATAATATTTAAGGTGCATGTGTATGCTCGATCATCAAAATGTTGATGTATTTTTTTCATCTCAAAATGTTTCAATCAGAAGTTGGTTTTGGACAGTGACGGGGGGGATGTTTATGAATAAACCCTAGGTAGACTAATTATATACTCATAAATATTTTAAAAGCCAAATGGACAAGTGATTCCTAATTGATTAAATTAATTCTAGTGTCATAAAAAAAATAGCATTTTTATATATTAGAGTTAATCTAATTTAAGTTCATAGATAAGACAAACTGATCAGTATCAACCCCTTTGATAGCATAGTGCTCTTGTCGGTATGTGCCCCCCCCCTTGGATTAGCTAGGGGCCCATCTCATACGGTAGTTAGGGTTTGATTCTACTTTATATTTTATACTTTATATACTTTATAGTTTATATACTTTATATACATGATTAATGAATTAATTAATTAAATATCATAATTTTTTTTTAAGTTTTCAGTCTATTTAAATATATATAAATTATAAATATTTTTAAAAATTTCTCTACTAAAAATAAAAAATATTTTTCAATAAGGAAATTTTAAAAAAAAATACTTCTAAATTTGTATTCAAATATGATTATTATTGTTTAGTTAACTTGGCTTCTAGCTTGGAATATATACCTATTATTAATTATTTCATTCTCATGTATGCACCCAATATTGATAATGAATTGTTGTTTCTGAATTAATTGAAGGCTGATAATTTGAGGCAACAAACCCTTCACCAATTATGTCGATTACTGACAGTTCGTCAAGCAGCAAGGTGTTTTCTTGTGATTGGAGAGTATTATAGCCGTCTTAGAGCACTTAGTTCTCTTTGGGCATCAAGACCACGAGAGTAAGAATATTTAACACCATACCTTAATTGCTTTATTTTTTTAGATTCATTGTCTAAATTCCCTTTAATCACTTTTTATATTTTTTTTTTCCTTAATTTTTAATTATTTATGCTTTCAAATTAGTTTTTTCTATTCAACTTTTTAGAAAATTGTTATTGTTTTCTTAAATTTAAATTACTTATGTTTTTCGACTTATTTAAATTCTTTATGTATATTTTTCTTATAATTTTTATTTTTTATTCACATATTTTTAAAGTTTTCTTAACTTAAGTTTTTGAATGATGTACAAGATGATTTCTAACTTATATATTTTATAAGGAAATAAATTAGGTTTAATTGTAGTTTGGTTCTCCTATATATTTTATCAACAAAAAAAATCCATGAATTTGATTCTTTACAATATTTTAATCATGTAATATTGCAATTTCGATCATCTATTCACATTTAATGGAAATGTTGACGTGATGTACTACTAGGGTGACCACATTCCTACTATTGTGACACTTTATTGTACTATCACAAACGTCAATATTTTGATTATATTGAGTATTAAATTAATGAATGAATCAAAAATTAAACAATTAAAATAGTGGAGTGATCAAATTCACGGCAGAAAAAAAAACTAAATTTGCAAAATTAAGAAAATAAGAAATTAAAAGTAGAAAGCTAATAAATTAATTTATTTAAAATATCCTTAAAATTTGCAACACTTGAGCTAGTTAAAATGAATTTAATTTTTGGTCTTGATTTCATTTCCTTTCAAGGTTTCAACCACCACTTACATCTCTACAACTTCTAAATCTGCTCCATTGAAAAAATTGATTAAAACTCAGATACCCCTCAAAAAAAAAAAAAAAAAAGTAACACCCTTTTTCCATTGGTTTCAACAGGACCTTGATCAGCGATGATAACTCATGCCAAACAACCACGGAACTGCAAATGGTTCATCCTTCTCAGAATCATTTCTCCACTTTCTAAAATATATGTAATTGAAATGCAAGTGATCGATTTCTTTGGCCTACTTTAGAAGGAAAGGAAAGGTTACTATATATATTATTATTTTTTTTCTTTTCAAATCTTCTGGTCTTGTGTCTCTTATGATTTGTTGTAATTAAATGGAATTCGAGTTTTATGTGAATGACGAGGAAGCTTCTACTTTAGCTAAAAGGAGTAGAGAAATTTAATGATATATAAAGGAACGTATATGAAATGCTAGCTAGATGTTGATAAGCATGCATAAATTAATTCATCATGCTATATCTCCTATACATAGCTAGCTACTAATATTTCTTCTTTTAATTTTCTTTTACACACGTACCATATTTTAAATTAATTGATTAATAGCTTTAGAAAGGTGTGGCACAAATTAGAGGGAAGAGAGTTGCATTTATAGTAGTGGCTTTGGTTGCAAGTGGTGTATTCTATATATATATATATATATATATATATATAACACAAAAGAAGATTTATATATGAATAGCACTTTAGCTGAAAAGAAGAGGTCGTGTCTCTTCATTTATTTGAAGTGTTTTTTTGTTTTGGTGACATAAAAGGAGGTATTAAAAAAAGGAGTTAATCACCTATACATTGTCAGTGTAAAATTTTTTTACACGGACAACCAATTAGATTTGTTAATAGTGTCATGTCATTTGCTCATTTAATTAAATTAAAATAATAAAAAAAGTACTATTAACAAATCTGATTGGTTGTTAGTATAAAAAATTTTATACTGACAGTGTATAGGTGATTAATTAATAAAAAAGTATTTGAAGTGGTTTGGTTACATATAAAAGGGTTTGATTAATTTATTCAGGAAAAAACGAATGAGGGAATTGGGCGTTTGTGTCTTTGCGTGCATGTGGCTACGTTTGTGTGCGTTGAAAATGAGAATGCACCATTTTTGTTTGCATTTGAAATTGACAACTGCAAGTGCATATATATCTATGTTTCAGCCTCAGAAAATTGCATGCAATACATTATGAGTTCCACCTCCAGTTTTATATTTTCTTTATGAATATGCATATTGTTGTGCCCCGATCTTTTTACATTAAAGATATTATCCCCTTTAAATTTTGTATAATTTTATTTTTTATCATATCATTCAAAAAGATCTTTTACTAATTTATATATATATATATATATATATATATATATATATATAATTTAAATTCATTTCATCCTCTCAGTTTGTAGATATGAAATTTTGATTGTATTTTAAGACATACATATATTGCTTTTAAATATTATTAAGTGTGTGGATCAATGTGGAGCTTCAATTTTATATAACTATATCACATATTCAAAATGAGAAAATTGTCATTTGTGAACAGATCCATAAAATTTATATTTAATTAAAAATCATTAAAAGATATAATCGATAAAATTTACATCTATATAGAGATGTGAAAACGCAAGCAGTTTACTTAAATCTTTACATTATTATTTATCACATGGCAGAATGAATCTATATACATGGAATGATAAGGATAACGTGTGTGATGGGACACTTTATTTCTTGTATAAGAGTTAGATAAATTAAAAAGAAAGGTACGAGTGTGTTAATTATCTCATAGTTATAGTACTGCATGGTGACAGAAATGGCACGTACCTCCATCGTTCTATGCTATAAAGTTGCATCCTAGACAATGAACATAGCCTGTTAACCTGTCCCTCTTGCCTCTTGTTCCCACCCTCTGTCCCTAAATTAATTACCAGCTCCAAGTAAATGCTCTCTGCTATTTGCCTCTTGCACGTTTCACTGTTGAGAAAATATATACATTATTTGATTTAATATATAATATATGAATAAAAATATAACAAGCCTCTTTTGAAAAATTAATCTTTCTCTGAAGAGGAAAAAAAGATCCACACGCATGCATGCATTTTAATAAGACAAAGTTTTCAAAGGTCGAGTGTTGTTGTACGTGAGTATGTGGAAAGGGACTATACGTAAAACATTTATTACATGCATGATAAGTCCTTGATGCACTACTGTGGAGGCACATGCATGTGATAGAGAACTAATTAAGTTCCAACTGAAATTCATGTGCATAAATTATAAACATATATAGTGTAGTCGTCAAATCGTATAACACAGTAAATTTTAACACAAGACATCATCAACTAAATGTAAAGGTTCAAGGTACAAGAATGCATTTAATTTGTATAGTTAACAAATTGAGTTTAGTATAGTAGTCTCTGTTGACCTATAACTAAAAATAATTAATTTCACATTAATTTAAAAAACTTATTAAATATATTTAATTTTTATAATTTTACATAAAATATATACTATATTTCATAAAAATATCTTTAACTACATTCATAAAATAGTGTTATTTTTGAATTAATATTATTTAATAAGATTGATTTAATTAAAATTTGTTTATATTTTAGCTTAAAAATTTAAAGTATCTTTTACGTATACATAGATTCAAAGTAAAAATTATTAGATAAGTCAGAATCACCATGATTCTAATTAATCACTATATAACATACATTGAAATCTTTTAATTTATAAAAAAAAAATTAATAACACTTAATTACATATTATAAAAATATTAATTAAAGACTATGTAATCTAAAAATACATAATAATCTCTCGTCCAGAGTAGGTTGGAAAACGAAATTATCTACAGCGTTGCAAACATTTAAAACTACTTTAATTGAAAGGGGTTTATCTATTATGTGGATGGATATATGTAAAAATATTAAATACTCTTGTTATCTATCGTAAGACCTAAATTAAAAGTGTTGTTTGTATCTTCCTTACAAGAATTAATCTAAAATAATTTTTGCGTTAGTTATTTTTTTACAAGAAATAATTCTTCATTTTTCCTAGTGTACTCATTAATATTAAAAGTAGTTTAAAAATATAAATTTAGGACATGATTTTAATATTATCTATTAAATTAACCAACTATCGATTAAAAAAAATTAACTAATTTCCTTAATTCTAATGAATTAAGTAAAGTCTTGTAAAAAAAATTGGAGAGAATACATCATAATTGTTTTAAAGTACATAATTGAATAATGTTTGTGCTTTTTATATAAAGAATATTTTTTGTAAGGCATATCTTATTGAATTAGCATTTAGCAGCCTGTGATATTCATTTGTTAAGAATTTGGAGCAACCTCCAATTGGATGTAGGAATGGAAATTAGTTGACATGGTCTAGAAGAAGATCGGTTAGTCAATTATTTTATTTTTATAGTTCTATTAGTTTGAGCCTCAAGATTTGTCTACTACTTTTGAATCAATTATGAGCAATAGGGATTAAATTATTAGCAATATGGGTCATTATCGGCGTGCTTATATATTAACCGTCCAATCTTGATCAGATTTTAGAGGACAATTTCAATTTAATTATATTAGTTTAATGCATACGTCTCTTTAGATTAGGTATCATTTTATAACAAAGTAATATTGCTGCCTTTGTCATTACTTGTAGTAATGTATGAGATTGAGAGTAGGACTAGGACCTGCAATATTAAAGTATTGAAACCAAAGAAAATAGTTAACTATATATAAAATATCAAACAATTTTATTTTTTTTGTGTTGAGTCATAAAATGGCCATACTTTATGTTACCAGACTATCCTATATGCTTGATGTTTTGAAAGGTACTAATTACATATAGTATGTTTAAGAATCAATTAAGTTGAAATTAATAAAAATTTAAAAAATATACTCATAATTTTCTACTTTTTTTAATCAAAATACGTATTTTTTTCATTAAACATAATTTTATGTACTAAATTATTTGTGAATCACGCTTCTGCCAACTTTGATATGTAGATCAAAACTTTGGTTACAATTTTAATTACAGGAGATAAAGTTTAGTCTCATCTATATTAGTATATAAAAAAATATTTCTTTTTAATAATTACTTTGATCTTTATATTTAATAGATTATTATGTTCTTTTATTATTAAAAAAATTAATATTTTTATCAAATTCAAAACTTGAACCTAAAACCTTGAAATATAAGAACAAATTATAATATCAATTGAACTAAAATACTTTTATTATTATTTTTTTAATAAAAATATAATATGTCTCGACCTCATTAATATTCTTTAAAAATAAAAAAGCTTTAACTTGTGGTAACGTTAAAAAAATAAGTAAATAAAAATAATGACCACACTTTGATAACACACACTGACACGGTTATATCTTCTCTTTTTTAACATTCAAAATAAGAAATTATATCAATGTATTAACTTTGTTTTTAAGGGATGTATTAACATTGATATATCACGTTATATATGAATATAT